CCTCCCGCCTCTCTCTACATTCCCCTATGTGGTAGGATTTGACGTCTTCAACGTCGGCCGTGAATACGTCCTCCAGTCATCGGACGACGACAGCCATGTAAATTATGTGAGCCGGTTTTACACCTGTGGTTTAAAGGAGATGCGGGATTCTTTTGTTAAAAAAATTGTTCTTTCCAACAGCCCATCTGGCGGGTCTAAATTTTTAGCTCTGGCAATTATCACTGTCAAGGTGGCGTGTGAAGTCGCGGGAGGGAGTAATGTAGTGAAGAGCACTCAGAAGCAGGGGAATTTACAGGCTGGGCTCCCCGTTGTCTGTAAGCATTTGGGCAAAAGTCGGTCGGCGTCCATGAAACAGGAGTTGTCTGATAGCTGGAATTTACAGGAGTTGTGCCCTTTTTGTTTAGAACATGCGGACAAAAATGCCCTTTGAAGAAGCACACTTGCATTCGTGTGAATTGGTCCTCCGGTTGCAAAACCGGAGAAACTGGGTAAAAGGGCCACGATTTCCCACTTTTACAAGTTCAAGGGTTTAAAGTCGTCAAAAAATAGATGAGGGGCTTAATTTTACCTAGACAAAGAGTTAAAGGGCCATTTGGATAATTTTCCCTAATTGAAATATATACTCCACCACTAAGAACTAAATAACTTTCTTTGGTATGACAGAGCTGAAATACTTTAACTAAAATCACTTGGCATGTCCAAAGAGCAATCATGTTAATGCATCCAAATCAAAATTTAAACCCCTCTCCTCCTTAATTAATTTATCAGTAATTTTTTTGCAAAACTGTAAAATTTTTTTACAAAAAACTGCAATCCAAAAAAACAAGTTCTCGTGTACAACATTCCCTCGACACTTGTCTCTCCTAGGTGTTAAAATGACACAAGTATTAGTAACGCAACATCTTCCTTGCCCTTTATATTACTAACTAGATCTTCCGTCATTTTTGTCATATTTGTAGTATTTTGTTAGAGAGCATCGAATTTTCAAAATCAATAATCGAGACATGGGATAGAAATGTGTCCATTTAGGTAGACGGTCACGACCGTAATTTGATGTCGCACGCTTTCAAACGCATCTAGACTAATAATTCGTCGTCATATGTTTTTTATTCAATCAACTAATTTAGGAATAGTTAAAGTAATGCTAATGGAAATGATACTCGGCCAATTATGGGTCCAACGCGGACAGCCATGAATATCCTAATGCAGCAAAACATCCAAGCGGAAGGTCACGTCGTGTCTGGGTTGTGGAGCATTACAGTTATAAACGGAAGGGAGTAGTCTGGTTTAGTTAAGCCTCGAGCAAGTCCATGTTCTGTGAAGCTCTATTTGAATTTGTACTCTTAACGTCCAGACCAAAAAGAGCCGTTCTCTAATCAATTCAAGCTTTTTCTAAAGCCTACCAAAGCAAATCGTCTTTTTCTGCGTGGACCCGAACCTTCCCTCAAACAAATGACCAAGCTATCCCTCATCTGCCATCATGACCACTCCGTGGCAGCTCTTGATTTTCGCACCAGTGATCAACTGCAAGGCTCAGTATACCTGCGTAATATTTCCTTGTTGGAGAAGGGAAAGCTGCAAGAGATTTGGAGTTACTATTAGGCCCCCCCCCCTTTTTTTTTTCAATTTTGTTTTGTATTTCTGCTGTTGATAAAAATAGAGGAGTTTGAAATATTAGGGGTGTGTTTGGATCCCTTGTTTTTGGGGTTGTTTTTGAAAAACTGTTTTTCACATTCCAAATGCTACAGTAAATGTGTATTTCTAAAACAACTCCAAAAACACCATATCCAAATATTATATCAAAAACAACTACATATGTATATTTCAATTTGTACATTTCAATTATGTATATTATATATATAAATATATATTATATTATATTAATATAAATTGAAATATACAAATTGAAAATTATATATATTATATATTATATAAATATTTATATAAATTAATATTATACATAATATAATATAATATACATAATATGTAATATTGTATACATAAATGTGTAAATATTTATACATATTATATTATGTACATTATATTATAATATATACATTATTAATGTATAATATTATTATGTACATTATTGTGTATAATAATGTATAATAGTGTTACGTATAATATATAATAGACATAATATGTAATAATGTAATAATGTATATTATATATAACATATTATATTATGTATATTATATTATATATATACAATATTATGTATATTATACAAATTGAAAATTATAAATTATAAATTTAAATATTATATATTATATGAATATTTATATAATGAAATATACAATAAATATTACAAATTGAAATATTATATAAACACCATATTTATAATATTATAATATTTACAATTAATATTAATGTATATTATATATTTTAAATATTTATTTATTTATTTATACATATTATAAATATTTTTATATAGTTATATGAATATTATATATTATATAAATTATATATAATATAACATATATTATATATTATATATATTATACATTTATATAAATGTTCATTTATACATAATATATATTAATGTATATTTATTTATAATATACATTTATATTATGTATTATATATAATATAATGCTTTTATAATACATTTATACATTTCTATTAATATACATAATATTAATTTTATATTTATACATAATATTAATACATTTTGTACATTTATATTAATTATATTAATACATTTATACTTAATACTAATATATATTAATAAAATTATAATTTATACATTTATATAATATTCATTTGTAATTTATACATTTATAATAATATAGACTTATACGTTTATAAATATATTTATATTATGTATTATATATAATATAATACATTTATATATTTTATATAAATACATAAATATATTTATTTATAAATATTTATAAATGTATTATAAATGCATAAATGTATATTTATATAAAAATATAAAAAATTATAATTTATACATTTATATAATATTCATTTGTAATTTATACATTTATAATAATATAGACTTATACGTTTATAAATATATTTATATTATGTATTATATATAATATAATACATTTATATATTTTATATAAATACATAAATATATTTATTTATAAATATTTATAAATGTATTATAAATGCATAAACGTATATTTATATAAAAATATAAAAATTATAATTTATAATTTATAATTTATACATTTATATAATATTCATTTATAATTTATACATTTACAATAATATACACTTATACATTTATAAATACATTTATATTATGTATTATATATAATATAATAAATTTATAATACATTTATATATTTTATATAAATATATTTATTTATAAATGTATTATAAATGCATAAATGTATATTTATATAAAAATATAAAAATTATAAATTATAAATTGTAATTTATACATTTATATAATATTCATTTATAATTTATACATTTATAATAATATACACTTATATATTTATAAATATATGTATATTATGTATTATATATAATATAATACATTTATAATACATTTATATATTTTTTAGCAAATATATAAATATATTTATTTATAAATATTTATAAATGTATTATAAATTATAAAAATATCCAAAAATATGTTTTAAAAATACCTCTAAAAATAATCCAAAAAACATCTACAGTAAAAGTTTTTCATATAGTTTTTGAAAAACAACTCCAAAAACAACTAATCCAAACGGAGTTGTATTTCAAAAACGAAATGCTACAGTGCTGTTTTTAAAAAACAACCCCAAAAACAGCTAATCCAAACGGAGCCTAGGTTCACTAAGAAATGCACCACATTTGCAAATATATTCAGCAAAAAATTTTTCTGAGAAAAATATAAAATAGAGTCCAAACTTGCCGTGTCATGTGAGTCATCACGAGCTACCTTGCCGCATTGTTACTAGAATCTCGATTAATATCCATTTAAAAATGGAGCAAATCTTAAAGTCACACTAATAAGATTGTTTAAGAGTGCTACTATATGAAATCATAAAGTTCAGTATCAAACCTACCACTTTTTCCACCACATCGGGACAAATTAGTACTGGACTAATTAATTACCCCATCCTCCTCATAATCCCAAAAGTAAGTAAGGAGGAGCAGATTTCCAAATTTCACCGCCCAGCTAAGAGTACAACTACCGTGAAGCGTTAATACTCCCCATCCTCATCCATGTGACCGCAATTATTTTAGAAAAAAGAAGGGAGAAAGTTGCGGTTGCCACTTACCATTACAATTCTCTTGTTAGTGTAGTAAACCAAGTACTCCTTCTATTCTATTTTGATAGTTCTGATTTTTTTTTTCACACAGGTAAAAAATATAGTTAATTTTGTTGAAAAAATAAATTTAGATTGCTATTTTTCTAAAATACCCTTACATTTAATAGAGTACAACTTTATAGTAATTATTTATGAAAACTTGAATTGATGGTTTATGGGAACTTAAATTGATGGTTAAGAAAGAAGCAATCCTCATTCATTTATCAATATGTTTTGAAAAATTTAAAAATATTAAATGGGATATGTTATTTGATAAAAAAAATAATCTATATTAAATAAGTTAATTTATACGAATAACAACTTATATTGAACAAAAATATTTTAGAGAAGTTAAAAAATAACTAAAATTTTTAATTAAAAAATGATCTATAATTTGGAACAGATAAAAAAAAAATAGAATTATCAAAGTGAAACGGGGAGGAAGTAGTAATTTAGTGGCAGCATTAACCAACTTTTCACCTTTTTAGCAGCTCGCCCGAGCCCGAGTGGAGCCCCGATCCTGTTACGTAAATAGCACAGAGTGTAATGCTCATTTATTAATCAAACAAATTGAGAACTGAGGGGGAGAGAGAGAGAGAGAGAGAGAGAGTTCAAAAAAGCGGGGTAATGAGCTGAGTCTGACTCTAATAAAAACGGTTAACTACAGGGACAGTATGGTCATATTTTGAATTCTATCCGGAAACTTACTCTCCAGCCCACTTTCTCCTCCTCCCCCCACCCCACCTTGCTTTCATTTCACTGCCAGCTCTACTCCGTCCCCATTGTTTGTTAGAGGCCTTCTTCCTTCTCCTCTTCCTCTGTTTCCTCACTAACTCCCTCTTTAGTGAGAGAAAGAGAGAGTACACAAACCAAAAGTATCAATTCACTTCCGTTGGACAAAAGAAAAGTACAAAGATCCACTGTTTGAATCGCAAGAGAATGGCTGGTTATGTAGGCGTGTTGGTGTCGGATCCATGGCTGCAGAATCAGTTCACTCAGGTGGAGCTTCGGAGCTTGAAAACTCATGTGAGTGTCTAAAACTTGTTCTACAAATTATTGGTGTTTGAGAGTTGAGTTTCAGTTGATATGATGCGGATTACGATTCTCCGTGTTCTGATTTTTTTTTCTTTTTTGCAGTTCTCGACGATCAGAAGAGAAAATGGAGGAGTTTTGAAGGTGGCTGACTTGCCGGCGAGAATGTGTAAACTGAAACACGTTGGAGAGAGTCTTACCGAAGAGGAACGATCTGCATTTCTTCAAGATTCGTACCAGAACTTGGATGAAGATGTTGATTTCGAGCTGTTCCTTCGGGTACGATTTTCTACTTGTGAATACTCCTATATGCTAGTGAACTCATTTATGTACTCAAAACTACTGTTGGCAGTTGAGCAATCCAAGAGGATTTCCAAATTATATTTTAAAGGTAAAATAATGCAAAAAATGAAAAACAACAAGTTCGAGAACTGACGTCTTCTCTTTAAGAATCTCAGTTCGAGCAAAGTTAGATATTGAAACTCGTTGTATGTGCTATTTAGACATAGATATTCTCGTGACACTTTCATCTTTAAAACGTGAATGCAGAAAATTAATGAGCTTAATGTTTTGGGAGTTACTCAAATCTAATTTTCCAATTTTATTGGACTTGATAAATTTTTTTCCTCAGCTTTTTTGAGCTTTGTCTCCTAAAAGCATCCGTACTGATGTATCCTAACAAATTTGCCGAAATTATGCTTCTGGAGTAAAGCTACTGGGACGAAAAACCAAAATTTCTTTAACATTCTCTGATTACACATCAGTTTAATGTTTTGTGTGTTTTCAATTGAGGACAGTTAAAATTCTGATTTGATTCCAGTTTTCATTCATTTTTTTTCATTTTCAAAAGTTGCTAGGATGAGTTCATTGATCTTTAACTTGGTTTGACTCATGAGAGATGTTTTAAATTCATGGCAGATCTATTTGAAACTTCAAGCACATGGCTCTGCAAGAATGGGAAGTGTAAAAACTTCATCTGCTTTCCTCAAGTCTCCCACTTCTACCTTGCTTCACACAATCAGTGAATCCGAGAAGGCATCCTACGTGGCACACATTAATAACTATCTTGCAGAGGATGAGTTCATAAAGAAATACCTCCCCATTGATCCTTCAACTAATGACCTGTTTGAAATTGCCAAGGATGGAGTTCTTATCTGGTGATTGTAGTGTGTTGCTTGCTTTACTAGTCTATGTGTTGAATACAGTCAACTGGATAGTGATATATTCTCTTCCTTTTCATCCTCCTGTGCAGTAAGCTCATTAATGTGGCAGTGCCAGGAACAATTGATGAGCGGGCAATAAATACCAAGAGATTACTCAATCCATGGGAAAGAAATGAGAATCATACTCTTTGCCTCAACTCTGCCAAGGCAATTGGATGTACTGTAGTCAATATAGGAAATGAAGACTTTATTGAAGGAAGGGTAAGTACATGTTGAGCAAATGGTTGATTATGGTTGTGAAATCATAAATAAGCATTTAAAGCCTAGATGAACTTCCTCAACTTAACCAGTTTGTGTGGACTTTTCATGCACAAATATGACATTCCCTAGTTTAGGAAAGTGGTGTTATTTTTCTCCATCAAATGGGGTTCTGTTAAGCTCATTCAAACTGTGAGGTTGGAAAGCGAAGAATTTACTTTTACTACAGAACAACTTGTGGAACATTTTGAGGCTTCTGGTTCTGATTCAACAAATATTTGACTAGTCTTCCAATTTTGGTTGGCCTTAGAATCTTATGCGTGACTAAATTGCTAGTATTAGCATATCTTTCCTCAACAATTTTTTAATGCCACCTGAATAAATTTTCTTTAGTTATGATCGAAGTGATGCTCCATCAAATAATTCCACGGCTGATCTTGTTTAAATTTGTCTTCACTCTGTAAACTCTATTTCCTCTTGTTTAATTTCTCTTTTATGTCCTCCTGGATAACCTTTACTGACATCAAATTTTTGTATCGCAGAGGCATCTTGTTCTTGGATTGATATCACAGATTATAAAGGTATGTTCTGTCCAGAAAATAGTTATTTTATTATCTTTAGCTGAGAAGATTCTTACCCTGATGTTCTACTTCTGATGAAAGGACTTCCTATGTATAATCCTCCTAGGGGTTATTATAACTTCTAATGTTTAGCCTCGACACTGTTGTTATCAAATCAATTTAACTTCTTGTGGTCTTTTAATATACTAAAGTTTATGCTGCAATTGTTATGCTTTAGATACAACTACTGGCGGATCTCAATTTAAAGAAAACACCTCAATTGGTGGAATTGGTTGATGATAGTAAGGTGAAGATCTTCCTCCAGGTTTATGTTTCCAACAATATCAATTACTTCCCATAATACAATCCACTTTATCTTTTGCAATGCCCAGGACATTGAGGAGTTGATGAGCCTTGCTCCTGAAAAAATCTTGCTTAGGTGGATGAATTTTCAGTTAAAAAAAGCAGGATACAAGAAAACAGTCACAAATTTCTCTTCTGATGTAAAGGTATATGCATTATCTAATATTCAAATTTAGTGCCTTTCAGTGTACTGAGGCTTTGTAGTTTGAATGCAAATGAAAATTATACTCCTGAAATGCTCTAGTTCTTTGAACAATCGAATAACTCAACTTTTTCACAACCATGTGTTTAAACTGAGAAAATTTTTTACCTCTCTCAGGCTTTCATTTATTCACGGTATAGAATAACTAGAAGCCACAAGTTTCAAGTTGCACATTAGGTTTCATCAACTCTGGTTTGCATGGTAGGCAGATGGAAGTCTCTTCTTCTACCTTCTTAATAAACAATGCATCAATGAAATGGCTGATAATTTCGTAAGCTTTAGTTATACCATGTTGAAACATTGCACAAGGAAGTTCCTACGCAACAAGTAGTTGTTGTTGCTGGATTAGTTCTTTTTCAGCAAGAGAAACATTTTTCATGTCTTGTTAGACGCTTGATTCGACTGCCTATATAATTTTTAAGGTGGTAACATGCTGTCACCACTTGATGCAGCCATCTTGTGAACTAAAATGTCCCCTTTAGCAAGAGCCTCTAGTTTCAAACTTTTTGCTGGCTGATTTTCGTTGTTTTTATCTAATCAGTCTTACATCTGGTCAACAGAACTTGGTAAAGAGAGTCCTTCTGAAATACTGTCATAATGAGGAAAAGTTTCTCCTGTTAGTTGTTTCCCACTTCTTTGAAAATGCATGTACTTGTTTTATGGTGGGATAGCGCCTGATACTTGAGGTTTTCATCTGCTTCGGCTACAGGATGCTGAGGCTTATGCTTATCTCTTGAACATTCTTGCTCCCGAGCATAGTAGTCCAGCTACATTAGCTACAAAAGATCCTTTGCAAAGAGCAAAGCTCGTTTTGGAACATGCAGATAGAATGGGCTGCAAGAGATACATAACACCAAAAGATATTGTGGAAGGATCTCCAAATCTTAACCTTGCTTTCGTGGCACATATTTTCCAGCATAGGTAAGGAGTTACTTCCAATATGATGAGTCCTTGCTTATTTGCTAGCAGATACCAATTTTCTTTTGGTTGTAGCAAGTACCTTGACCAAAATGAAGTTGATGTATTTTGCCTTGGCACAAATGATGACCCAAGTCAACAGTAAATAGCATGGTTTTAAAAAGGGTGTATTGAAGTAAAAACATGCTTTGATTAGTGTAGTTTCCGTGCTTTTTTCTCATATTTTAGCGACATCTTTTATTCGGTACCTTTGCTCCATAATGTTTTGGCACCAGGCCAGCCATCTACTTCAAAATTTAAAATGCCCCACTCTCCAGTTGCCCTAGTGGAGTGTGGGAATAGACTCTAGAATTGGAAATGTGGCACTATGTCACTGTTATTCTGATTCATACTCAACTAAAGCTTCAAATGCTGAAACATGTACTTGTTGCAATGCATGACAACTTTGAAAAGTTTGTTTATAGAGAAAGATTTAACGTTGTGCTGCTATGAATCTCATGGGAGCCAACCTTCTGAGCTTTAGCTAAGGAGCCGACCCCCTGAGCATAATGAAAAATTTTGAAGAATTTAGAACCCGGCATCGTGGATCATCAACCAGGAATTCCTGTAGCTATGACAATGATTAAAGATCAAATGTTTTGAAAGTTATATATGTTGACAGATCAACTTGTTCTATTTCTGGGTTGTTTCCAAATGAAACTGTCCATTTGAAGCTGTCTGATTGTTCTTTGATAGATAATGCATTTTAGGACGGTATTTGTGCTTTCCCTTCCTTTGTCTTTGCTTTTAATCTGTCAGTGTTAATTTTGTAGTAGCTAAGTAATGATTCTGCTCGCAGGAATGGTCTCTCTACACAAACAAAACAGATATCTTTTCTTGAATCATCGCCAGATGACACCCAAATCTCCAGAGAGGAGAAAGCATTTCGATTTTGGATAAATAGTCTGGGAACCTCAACATACATAGACAACATTTTTGAAGATGTCAGAGATGGGTATGTGACCCTGCTCGCAGTATATATGCTGGATCTTTACAAACTTGTCAACACAACGGGATGAAAAAGTTTATCCTCAATAGTGCCATTTTACTTTGGATCTGCAAAATCACGTAGCGGTCACATACTATTGCAGGGATTTGGGTTTATCTATTTTCTCATTCTCTGTAGCTTCCTTGTGCCTGCAGATGGGTGCTTCTAGAGGCGCTCGACAAGGTGTCTCCGGGTATTGTTAACTGGAAAATCGCTTCTAAACCTCCAATCAAGATGCCATTCAGGAAAGTTGAAAACTGTAACCAAGTTGTCAAGATTGGGAAACAATTGAAGTTTTCGCTGGTTAATATTGCCGGAAATGATATTGTTCAAGGAAATAAGAAACTGATTCTTGGTATGTGCTTTTCCACATTTACCTCTTGGGGACTAGTCTTCGACACGTTAAACAAGTCCTTCCATTAGATGAAGTTTAACCGTTCACTTCTTGTTTTACTAACTTCCAAAATATTTAATCTATTCTAAAAACAAAGTTTTGGACTTCAATTTCAGCTTACCTTTGGCAGTTGATGCGATGTAACATGCTTCAGCTCCTGAAGAACTTGAGATTCCATTCTCATGGAAAGGAAATAATGGATATTGATATTTTAGAGTGGGCTAATACCAAAGTCAAAAATTCAGGAAGCAACAGTCGTATGTGCAGTTTCAAGGTACCATTGCTGTAGTTTGTTTCTTTCTGCAATTGTGATTCTTGGTACCTGCGAATGTAGCAAACTAAATTGTTAAAGATTTCTTGAGGATTTTTTCTTGCTTATTTACTGAACAAAGGCATATTTCCTAGAGCTTCTACATAATAATAATAATAATTATTATTATTATTTTCTGTTTTTTTTTCAAAAAAATTTTGGGTCAACCTCTCTCTCGCTCTCTCTTCTTCTTTTTTTTTTTTTTGTTTTTGAAAATTACGTGTCTATACCTAATTTTTTGGCATAAGAAGCACAAATGGTGTTGTGAACGCCCAAAACAGACAAATTGGAGGACATATATAGCAAGAAGAACATGAGGGAAATATATACTTTGCAATAATGGAACCAAACTAAAAATGCCCCACCATTCAAGTGGGTAATGGAACCATGTGCGATCATATGGTGGTTGGCCCTTTCAAGGCCCACACCACACCAAAAAAAAAAAAAAAAAAAAACTCTCTTTTTAACCCCAAAATCTTGAAAACGAAAGATGGAGGGAGGGTGCATACAGCTATAATTCTTTCTTTTTTTTTTTGTATTTAAAAAATTTCAATTCTATGAAAAATACAACCAACACAATAAAGATTGATTCCCTTAAGTCGTCTCTCCTCTCCTCACCGCCCATTCTTAATCTTCTCTTCCTAATCTTCTTTTTCCTTCATTCCCTTCACACGTTGCTTCCTCACATTTCCCAATCTCTCCCTCCTCACCTTTTCCTTTTCCTTTTTCCTTTCTTCCTCATATATGTTATAATTAGTACAGTAGATAACTAGATATTGTGTCAGAAGTCAAGAAACTTGTTAATTTCCCTTTTGTCCTTCTGAGCAAAGAGGCCCCTTTGTGTCAGAAGAAAATCTTTTATCTGCAAGTACATACCCTCCCACCACTACTAGTATTGCCTGTTTCTCTTTCAATCCCGTCCCATGAATCCAAACCAAACCAAACCCTTCCTTCTTTCGTAGTTCGGATCATCTATAAGTAAGTATATATTTACTTCCTAGACAGCTACAAGTGCAACAAGTAAAGTACCCTCAGAAACCCTAAATTTCCCCCTACTTCTTGACCTCGTCTCAGCATTCTTCTCGATGAGCCCTCAACACATGAACATCCCTTTGAGTCGTAGGTCGATCAGAACCAGGTTAGCTTACCGGTTCCTTCGAGCCCTGAAGAAACTGAACAAGCAAAGAACCGGTGCTGTAACTTCTTCAACCTCGTCATCTATCAGAGACACTTGTAGACGCTATCACATGGTTAAGATGGCTGCTTATGCATCCATGGCTTCTGCTGTCGGATCAAAACGAGCATGGAGCCGTGCTTTGCTCTGGAAGATTAGGAATCGAGGGCTGAACCGTTGGCTTGTCAAGCGAAACAAATCTCGTGCATTAAGGGAAGAAGCTCATCAAATGCTGTAGAAAGAGAAAACCCTAGCAAAGGGTCAACAGTTGGTCTTGAAGAAGCTCATCAAGAACTTCGGAAGCTCGTTCCGGGAGGTGAAGTTATGGATGTGTTGAGCTTGTTCGATGAAACTGCCCATTATATAAAGTGCCTCACCTCCCAGGTACAAATCATGAGAAATATTGTGGATTTTTATTCGGCTTGATGATAAGCCAGCTGTTATGGTTATAAGCACAACAGTACATCATCATCAACAGCAGTTCATCTGATGCATAGATCAGAAAGAGATGATCCCGTCTGGGGGTGGATGCAGAGGTAAGTGCGTGCCAACGATGACCAAGGAAAATAAGGTGGCTTTAAATTAGGTTCATGTTTCATACGAGTAAATCTGAGGTACGACTTTTCCAACAGTAAGATGTGAGGGTCACATGTATGATAAGCTGAAAAACTGTATCACTGTTATTGTACAGAAATATTCAGGAGTTATTGTGTGTCTTTTTGGTGCTTATATTCCCACTCATTCTTCTCTTCTCTTACTTTCTCTCTTGTATCTGGTGTGTGTTGTGTGTGAGACTATGACGATACTCTTAGATCTCTTGGAAGATATTTGCAGATTTTTGGCTCAACCGAGTGCAGCCCAAGATATGAAGCAAGTAAAGTATATATATATAATGATGGAGGTGAGACTTGTTCTGTTTGCCATGAATCATTATGACTTTAATTCTTTTTGTCTTCAGAAACCCGCAAAACAAAGGTGTTGTGAACTTTCTAATTTTGGAATCAAAGAGAGAGAAAAATGAGAGAACTTTTCGAAAGAATTATAAGAAACTGATTTTGAGTAATAGTAGCATGTATGGTTTAAGTATATACGCATAATTTCGGTCCTCAATTTTTTTTTCTGGGAAAATACTGCTGCAAATATTTTTCTCTGTCACCTTCTTCTACAGTTATTATTCTGTCTTTATTGTTTGATTTAGGAGCTAGCTTCTCTCAACTTGAGAGAGTTTTCATTTAGATCGATAAGCAGAACGTTCCACTTCGTATACATGCATCTGCAAATGCGTATTACAAAACTTGGCCTGCAAAGAATATTCCAGCTTTCCTGGCCGACTTTGAAAGATATTAAAGTTTTTCTCAAGAATCTTCTTCCCTTTTTATTTGAGTCAAATATTTTTCTGTTCACACAGAGTTTTGTGCACAGTGCACATATTATTTGAGAAAAAAAAAATTGCAGATCGCTCAGTTTTTTTTTAATACATATATTTATTTTCCACTAAAGTTTCAGATGCAGGGTATTGTACTTTTTTCTCCCCATAAGCTAGAAGCTATTCCGTTGAGTGAATGTCTATTTTCTACTTCACATTGTCTTAACGTATTACCTTACTTTTTGAAAGGCAATAGAATATGCTAAACCGAATTATGGAGTGTGCTAAAGTAACATCTTTCCTCGGTCTTAAAAATTTCCATTTCTAAAAGTTTCCCAAGTAGGATACTTGGATTACCTTCGTGCATCCAAATAACACGTTTTGGGACTCTGTGGCCTCATATGTGTGTGTATATGTGTATATATGTATGTATGTATAAAACTACTGCTGCTTTTGAAGAATTGAAGAAAGAGAATTCGAGCAAAGATTCGGGTGTGGTTGACATCCATAGTCACGTACAACCTACAATTTGGGGGAGTTCGATATGGATATATAGCTTGTAAAGAAGACTTAACGTACATATGGATCTTTTTCTTTAAGGCTTATAGTACTACTCATGCAGGACAACTTGCAAAAAATAGTTCTAGATTAGGATTTGGTAACGTCAAAGGCTTATTGTGTTGTGGGATCCATAGAAATATCTTTCTATTAATCTGAGTAGAATAAAGAGTGAGGATTTCAAAAAGTTACTTGCCATGAACTTTGGGTTAGTGAATTTTGTGAATAAAACAAAACGTAACTTGCTTACTTATGTTACACATTAGAAGGAATTGTATGGTACAATTTGTTAATTCCTACGACTTTAGGATTTTTTTCAGTGTTATTTTGTTTCAGTAGTTTAGGATTCAAAAGCATTCAACTTGGTGGACTTTAGAATGCCATAAAGAGCTGTATTAGTGTTTGAGTTCTATTATTATCGTTATGTCTAATAGATTCCGCATAATGTTAAAAAAAATTTAATCTCATAACAAACAACTTTGGTTCATCAAAAGGAAGGGATTAAAAAAAAAGAGTAGAAGGAATTAAATTTTAATCCCAAGATCTCCTCTGCCAAGTTTTCAATACTTACTATTTTCGTATATTGATTTATTTCAATTCCTATGAAAGAAAGAAATGATTTTCATGAAAGAAATAAGAATAGAAACAAATGATTTTCTATTGTCATTGTTGTGTCTAATATATTCCACATTATTTTCAAAAATTTTATCTCATAATAAAAACTTTAGAGCTCGTTTGGGTTGTTATTTTGTATTTTTTGTTGAAAAATATACTGTAAGAATCTGATGTATGTAAAATAAAAAAGCGATTGAAAAATGTATTCATAAAATTTTTCAAGAAAAATGGCAGTCCAAATAAGGCCTAGATTCATCAAAAGGATGAAAAAAAAAGTAAAGGAAATTATACTTTGTCCAAGATCTTATTTTCCCAAGTTTTTTTTTTAATTAACCCTCCTTCACCTCTGTACCCCATCCCTTCCCCAAATTGTCAGATTCAAAATTTCATCTCCTTACCCCATCCTTCCCCAAACTGTTAGATTCAAAATTTGAACTGTGAACCTAGTTAGACTCAAGATTCGAGTTCCAAATTTGACAATGGAGAAAATTATAAGATTCTTCCCTGACCAGTGGGCCGATCCTAGTGGTTTTTTCCCAGGTTTCATACTTATTATTTTCTTATATTGATTTATTTTCAATTCCTATGTAAGAAATGATTTTCATGTTCTTATTTTGGAAGGAAATAAGCATGAAGTATTAGTAAAATACTTGAATTGCAACATTTTTCATTCTTTTGAAAATTTGAGTTTAAACTATAACAATAAATTGTAACTAATGCTCAAAAAAATAAATTGTAACTAAAACCTAATTCAAAATGGTAGGTATTTAAAGGAAAAAAAAGACTAATGCTCTTGTTTTTTGGACCATTTTTCATACATATATTAAAAAGAATTCAAACACATTTTCATTTATTGTAACATTTTTAAATAGCACTCTAAAAATAACCGTAACCAATGCAGCCTACTTTAATGTGCTCTGATGATCCAATGGACCGTAATAAATAGAACAATTTATTAAGAAAGGGTAAGAGTTTCTTGATGTGAAGGTGTAAAACAAATATAGATACTTGTTTTTTAACTCTCACATTTCTCCACACCCTTCCACATTCAACTATTTGATATAGGATTGAATTCTAAATCTAAAAGTAAAAAAATCCTAAAAGCCCTCCTGATGCAAAACTTAATAGGATATAAAACTTTCCTATACTATATACATTAACAGGTTTATCTGTGTGTCACATATACAAAACTTAGAGATCAAATTCAATTTTTGCATATTTATCATACATTCAAACCTGTTAGTGTATATATTAGTGTAAGAAAAATGATCAAAACTTACCTATATTGATAATACCCATTGTCATTTTGATGATCATTATTCCATAGACTAGTAAATTTTAGCGGAGACACTATTAAGAAAGTAAAATAAAAAATCGATAAAAAATCTAAAATATGAAGAGACACAAAAATTAAAAGTAAATCTTATATAGACTGACAGTGTATATACTATTACCATGGATTCATGACATATATGTAAAAGTTAAATTTTAAATTCAAATTTTGCATATTATTATTTATTCAACGCTGATAGTATATAACTGTCAGTATAGGAAAATTAATCAAAATAAAACATACAAGCTCTTGAGGATTTAGGAAAGCAACGATAAGAAAAATAAAAGACAATTCTTATTTCTTATCGGGAGAGACGGAGCAGAAATTAGTAAGAGTCAAACTTATCGAAAAAAGCACTTCAGATCCTCAGTCCTACTATGGAGTCCCTTTATTAAGTTCCACTTTTCAAATTGTAATAAATCATGTTGTAAGAATTGATTTAAGTGAACTCACGTAACATGTGTAATAAATCATCGTAGTTGTCTATCTCTTTTCTTGAGCTCAGCTAGGCTATCTAGAAAGAGGTTAATTCGATTAAGGAATAGAGATGGTAGGACGGTAAATTAGAAATAATCTAGATACAAATGACCAAGAAAATAAATCACTCTAGATGCTACTATAACAAAGTAACCAACTCGATGCTAACTCCATCTATAAGAATTCACAAATATATCTCAAAGTTGACTTTCTCCAATTTAATTACTGATGTTACGTGCAGCTAACATAAGTTTACAAGCATAAACTAGCAATGATTAGCATGCATACCATACTCAGAGAACTTCATTAATCCAATTAACTACCTCCACTTTGGAACCCTAATACACTTTTAGTTCTCGGGGACGCCAACTATAAAACTGTAAAAAATAAAACTAAAATTTTAAGATAGACTGTAATAAATTCATAGTGTCGGCATTTTAGCAAATATTAAACTTCGAGCTATAATTATGTGATGTTTGCGGGGATTCTTCCGAGGAAAAAGATGAACAACTCAGAAAATCCTAAAACATCAGAACGATACTATCCAAATGTGGTTGACAGGCATGTTTACATCTTCATGTGGGGTTATACATGTATATATATGTATGCATGTTTCATGTAGGGTTGTATAGTTTGATCTCCTCCTCTACAATTATGATCATTGTGCTCCATACAACACTACACTAATAGCCCGAAGGCACAAATGTAACGCACACCCAACACATAATGCAACAGAGAGAACGTAATAATGCTTGCTAACAGAGAATTCAAACCTTGCATATGCGCCCTCTTGGGCTTTATTGTATGGGTACCTTGTGTCCAACTTTTAGAGAACAACTAATTCCATGTAACTTGTTTTGAAGCTGACAAAACATAAGCTAACAAACATAAATCGGCACGATGTGGCCCATAAACCTCCAAATCTTCAATCAGGCAGATGATGCTGACAGTATCAAAGAATGATTCACAAAATTCAACTTTAAACCAGCCCAATCCTTTTGCTGCTTTCTAACTCGGAGTATTCACTTCCAATCCCAAGAAACTGAAACTCCAGGGTGTTACTTTTTGGGTAAACTTTGAAGTCGGCTATAATGCAGTCAAGTTCAAGAGAGCGCACACTTCGTTAATCTTTTGCACCTGTATGAGAGAACTGAGGAGAGGCAGATCGTTCACATTTCAGGTGCCTTAGTAATCTGATTTACATCTTGTCGTATAGACTATACACAGAAATAAACATTAATGGGGCTTGCAGATTTGAAGCCCAGGGCTGCAAAATACCAAAAAACTGTACAAGGAATATACAGCTTTCCACACCTTCGCTTCGTATCCTCCAATTCTATAGGTGTACGGCTATCTATGGTTATGCTGCTCTACTTAGATTACGATCTACTCTTCTGCTGCCTATATATTGGATGTTCAATCAGCCTGCTGATTGTCCAAAAAAAAAGAATGAGCCACCTTTCTGGGCCTCGACAATTACACCAGTTTATGGAATAAGATGCGTGGTGACTCCCAAATTCCAATAAGGAGCCACTTCTGTCAAGCCTTAACGGTGCTACCCGCTTGTGAAATTAGTACAGAGGGCAAGTCCCTAATCCGACGTCCACTCCCCCAGAACGAGGCTAGACAGAGGCCATGATAGCCATGGCAACTACTGAGCATGCAGGAGGAACTGCTTGAGTGCTCCCAAGGAATTGAGTTGCAAGTAGCCCTGCCAATGTAGAACTCTGCATTCCTGTACACAACGAAACTGTCCGGCTGACTTCTTCTTCTAACCTGACACAACAGCAAAGTCGTCAGATTTCGCTAGCTTGAAACTCTAAAATAGATATTACTTTTATTTGCACGCAAGCAGCATCTAGTTTCAGATCATCTTGATCAATACTGGCTTTACTTGTGAAAACAACCTGGTTGAGCTAGTAATACCAACATTAAATCCCAAGAACAAGCGAACTCCAATCACTAAGATTTGCAGAACTAGATGCAATCAAGGCATCAATTAAAAAAAAAGAGAAGGTTGCAGCAAGTAAAGACTCTCTTACTGGAAATTGTAAAGGCTAGGCTACACACTCTACACGAGTAATTTTGCAACCCAGTTGAAGAATTGAAGGAGCATAATGTGAATTACAACTGAAAGATGGTTAATGTCTTGTCTTCGTTCAAAATCTACAAAATTTGGGTTAATACACAATTTGTTGCCTCTCGATGCATCACATCTGATACCTTACGTGTAAGAAAATGCTTCAACACAATCTCGTCCAAAATGAAAGTGTTATCACTGATAATGAAGAGCTGATAACAGGAGCAAATATGGTACCTCAAAATTGGGATTTTGGATATCCAATAACCCAAAGTAAATGCCACTGCATGAAACGTCAGTACAGGAGCCACCAATCTCAGACCCTCGGGAGAAAGTATTTGGCTACGATTAATTGCAAGAGGACTGCCAATACACATTGAAGTGCAAATCATTGCAACGAATGGCATCACAGGTTGAAGGAGATAGACAACTGGTTTTGCATATGTGTTGAGGACTAGGCCAAGTGTTACTGGGGCAAGAACAACCTGGTAAGGCAATTTAATATCAAATGAGAAAGTTCAATGCATCCAGATCTGGTAAAAGCTAATCAAAACAATTAAGAGATCATAATTACTCTCTCCATCCAAACACAAGATTCCAAATTTGGGAATTGTTACTTTCATAGAGACATGTAAAATACATAAAGATGATGAAGTACTAGAGCCAGCTCACTCATGTTTCTAACTGAATTACGTGCCTGCAAAATTGACTTTGACATAGCAACTGCATCAACTGGAACAACAGAACCAATGAGAAGGCCTGTTAGAAGAGGAGTAACGAGGACTGAAGCAATGGTTGACGAGCTGGTCAAAAGAATGCTCAAAGCAACATCGCCTTTACTCAAGAAGCTGGCATAACTAGACAGCTGAGCCCCAGCAACACAAGACATGAGGACAAAACCGGCAAAGAATATACGAGACATTCAAATGCTCGCGCAACCAACACTCCAAGTGCTGGTTTCAGGCATATTGTGCAACAAATCCAATAGACAGAGGGACAGGCCTGGTTAAGGGAAAAAGTAAAGAGGTATAATCAGAAACAAAATTCATTAATCAATCAATATTAGTTAAAACAAAAAAAAACACATAAAAAATTGATTGAGGTAGTGAAAAAGTTGCAACCTTTTGAATGCCAGAGCAAAGTCATCAATTGAAAGCCTGATCCCAATAGACAACATGATTCCTCCGAGTGCAGGAGCATAGAGTTCTTTTGACACCCTGCAGGTTCCTCTATCATTTACAAAAACAAAACGAAGACATTTGTATAGCTTTAAGTATCAAGCATCTTCATAAAGTGCACATGGAAGATCAAAGAGAAAAAAAGACAGAACAGATAAATAAATCAATGAGTAAATAAAGAAAACCCATTTGCCTCACTCTGGACTGACGATAAATACTTGAATAATAAAATCAACCCATAAAATAATATAAGGACCACCCAGAACCTCTCTGATATTTGCATCAAAACATATGATTTGATCAAACTATGCACCTGAGTCACAGTACTAGATTCGCATTGGACAAGTCTTGAAACACAAGCAACACCCCAAACTCCTGAAAATTTATATATATTCACATGATTGAAGCATAAATAAGTTAAGCTAAATATAAACCTTCAGAAACTCCGGATTCGATCAAAAGCCCCGGAAGATTTCTTACCACACACAAAGAAATTGATTGGAAATCTTACCAAGTGAAAGTAGAAGGCTGAGAAAGAGCAGAAACTGCAGTGAGGGCCACCACAAAAGGAGCATTGCAGACAAAACTTGGGAAGAATCCGCCTTTTTATCAGCTTCCATCACGCTTTCATCGAGGCTTGCACCAAACGATAAGAGAGAAAAATTGCCTTCTCGCTTATGCCACCCAACCTTTCCAGTAAACGGGGACGACGTCGTTGAGCAGGCTATGGCAGATAAAGAACCAAACCCACGGAAACCCTTGTTCAAAAATGGAAGAAGAAGAGGCCTTTTCGTGAAAGCGAGGGAAAAAGAAAGAGAATTGGGATTCGAAGTAGAATCGTTGGGAGGAAGAGAAATGATGTGGGAGCTTTCGGTGGCGGGAAGTGAGAGTTGGAGCAAGGGATATAGATGGAATAATAACTGACATTCCAACTGGTTTACAGAAAGTAACCGTTGAAGATGGAGTGCGGGCGCCGGAGGAGATGGGTTTTCCTTGTCCGGGCCAGGGAGAGAAGAAAGAGAAAGGAGAGGAGTAGAGCGAAGGAGAGTAGATGACGAAAAGATAAACAGATTAGGAAAATCCCTTTGTATTTAGTAGTAGTACGAGTACTAGAATATTTTTGTTTTTTTTAAAAAAAAAATTTTTGTTACTACGTAGCACATAAGAGATTTTTCTAGAATGTTCAACGGTTGGAAGGAAGACTTGCCAATGTGATTGTGATGTGAGACTTTTTGGGGTTTCGATTGAGCGATTTGACGGTCCGGATTTTGTTGAAATGTGTCTCGCATCCACTCAGCAGCTCATCCTCGTTCATAATCCTTGTTCAAGATTTGCACCCACAACCCCACATCATTCTTCATCCTCAGGTTTGGTCCCGTGTCTTTCCTTGATTTGCAAGTCCTCTAAACCTTTGAACCATTTCCAGAACAAGTTCATTCTTTCTGTACAAAGTGTGTTGTGCACCGGGTGAATTAGGCACCTTTCGTCTCCATTTAGTAATGAACAAAAAAACCAACTTCTATTCTAATCTTGCTATGATGTTACCAATAATTTCTTTTGGTCGGAAGATCAAAGGCCCGAAAACAGAACAGGGAAACTGTTGAATCTGCCGCTGCTAAATACTAATTGAAGGCGCAGCTAGGCCCGAAACAAATGTATAGTGCCGTAGGTTTCTTTTAATTACTACTAGTTTAGTATACTTTATACAGTATCTGGGGCACTTTTCACATTTGACATTTTCTCCCTATTAGTAATAGAGTATGAGCTTTGCCTGGAATAATTGCAACACTTAAATGCCACCCGAGTGGCCATCAAACTGTATGGGAGACTTCTCCAGTCAATGATATCATCATTGTCCGTCCATCCATAAAGCCCGCCGTGGGTCCGACAGACATCCCCTAGTATTATAACAGTAGTACGTGCTGTTACACAAAATCAACCACAATTTCACCCTTCACTGCGAAAGCTTTTACAGTTTTTGAGTCTTATTTGAGTTGCAAAAAGGAAAAACTTGTGTTTTGCACAAAGAAAGAAAGCCTAGAATTCCTTCACATCCGCAATTTTATGCCTATTTGGTCGAGTGGTAAACCCAGAGAACAATCTGAATCATTCTCATCGGTCTGGATGAGGATGTTGAGTGGCGGACACATTTTGTAGGAGTTGTTGCTGGTGTCTTTTGTTGGCAGTAACGTCCAGCAAAAGAGAAAAACAACAAAAAGAAGAGAGCCCTTGAGGAGCTATGCTGCCCTGCACTCGGATTGACTTATCTGGCCAAAACTGCAAAGACCTAAAGGCGGAGACTTTAGATGATATCAATGACAATAATAGAGGGGGTGGTCCATTTCCATTAGAGGGACACTCAGGTGCTGGAAATCCCATTCATAGAAATCTGTCTCCATGTGCATATTCACACACTCGCTGGAAATCCATCCATACCACGAATCTCTCTACCGTCACCAGTGATCATTGTCGAGTACAATGCATGCATTAAGATAGTAAATGTATACACTAGCCTGTACTCAAATACATAGCGCCCTTATCCAGCATATGCCATGTGAAAGTCACTCTTTGCCAGCTTTTCATTATTTAACATAAAAAGACAATATCCCAATACAAACGAAGAGATTTTAAAGGACTGAATATACGTCAGACTTCACTTATTTTTTTTTTTTCCCTAAATTTGTCCCTTTTCTCATGGTCAAAACTCTACTTTAAAAAAAGAATGAAAAAGTTAATTTTCACGCCACTATTGGTATTTTGTTTTTCACTTCACCACATGCATGCTTGCAAGTGGCAGCCCCGTTCAGGCCAGCATCATCAACATATTTGCAAAAATGAAAGATGTTAATGAGCTCTTGCTTATCTTTCACTCTCTTTCCAGTGGCAATTTACAATTCATTAACCTGATGATTCATTAAAAGGTAACAATCCCATGGCATCGATCCAGGGGAAAAAGGTTTATACTGAAACCCACTGCTCATAGAAAAATAAAAGCTTATTAAAATGCTCCTATTGTTAAAGTAGGCAACAGAAAGGAAACAAGACAATGAACAAGCAAATCAGCTAAAATCCAATCAATGGACACTATAGAAGAAAATATAACATTGCTATGAGTTCATCAGCAGCTTTATGGGAATATGGGGCAGAAATACTTATTAGTATACGATAGTTATACATGTGGGTTTCCTTGGATACCAACAGTCCAGGAACACCTGTTGTGAAATCGGTACCATGCAAGAATAAAGCCAAAGATGCTTAAAGAATTACAAAATCTAGCTGCAATATTTGAAGTCATAAGGCAATTCTCACTAAGACATTTGACCACTTTTCCCTGTCATCAAGTTTTCTTTCTTTTACTCGTATTCTCGTTCATGAACCTCACTACAGTCCACTTTAGCACAGCTTGATATGTTTAAAAGAAGTGTGGGCAGGTGCCGGATTAAAAATTTCTCATCTTGATCCCATTACTTGTAAATAAATCATTTTTGAGAAGTAAATGAGACAACGTATGGAAGAGTTTAGTCAAGTGCAAAACTTAGGTCAATATGTCGTTCTCTCCCTCCTGCTTCCCATTCCACACAGATCACAAGAATCCCAGGAAAATGAAAAAAGAACATATGTTAAACAATTCTAAGAATTTACGTGTTAAACAAAACAAGTCATAGCCTCTACATTGAAATATAATTACATCAAACCCCCACTGGAATACTGATTTCCTCTTAAGTGCAGAAAGAACAGAAAGCTTTGGTCTTAAGCTAGTGACAATTTTGATTTCCCAAATTTGAACGCATTATAAATATCACAGAAAAGAGAAGCGAATTGCTTGCATGATGTAAACAGGTAAATCTTGTTAGCAAGCATGTGAGAATTGGGAAAAGACCATCTAACTATTTCAATACATGGCCTTGTAAAAGAACACAGTAAGTTTGATAAGGAAGACAAAACTAAACAGAGGCAGAATCAAGATTTGCACGTAGCAGGTTTTCTAAGCTTAGGATTCAACTCTGGCCCACTAGATTAGAGAAATTCCTGAAATAGTTTCAGCCAACATTACATTCTTCTTACAAGAGAATGTATGTATCTCACAGTCGAAAACTGGAGAGGAAAACAAAACAAAAAAAAAACTTGGAGCAGATGCGTACCATTGCTCATGCAATTTTTGGCAAAAATATGCCGTCTTCAATGAATCCAACTTTCTTAGCCTAATAAAAAAAGGCAAATCTGTAAATTCATTCATATTGAGTTGTTCCAGAAAAAGTAAGAAGTATGAGAAGCCAAACTGAAAAGAATTAAAATGAGAAGCAAGACGAGAAACTAAAGTTTGGAAAAGAACTAAAAGAATCATATCAGGCTAGTTGCATATGCAATTTAACTAGAGATTTCTTAAGTTGTTTAATTCTCAGAAACTGAAAAGCAACCAGCAAGTACAATGTAGTGGCATCCAAAAAGCAAAGGAAGATCACAAGCAGTGGCGCAGTTAACTTTGAATGAGACAATAAAGACTACAAATTTAAGAATCAAAATAATATAGATTTTATTTCTTGCATTTATGTATATCTCATCAACTACAAAAAGAGAATTAAGTAACAATCGTATTTCAGGTTTGATATGAATTGAACGTAGTTACAAACCTCTGCAAATCTATCACAAGTAATTTATGTAGTGCTCCTGTATCTTTATATCCTCTCTCTCATAGACACTCAAATGAAGCATCAATATATCATCTCGGAGTCCAATCACAACCGTCAAAAAGATAGGAGCTGGCATGATAGTTTGCAGAACTATACATGAAACCGCAAGCAAGCACACCTGAATGAAGCATATGACCACTAAACCAGACTTTCGGCAGACATGTACATAGAATGAATAATGGAAGACCCATGGTCTGATTGAGCTATAGTGCAACTTGACCTCTCCTGACTAGCAAAATCTACAGAACAGTCCTTACAAAATTCTCCCTGATCAAGCTGATACCGGAGCTTCCCCAAGAGACTCTGCTCACAAACACACATGCATCAGAATCACTTATAAGGAATATAACGTTATCAAGTGAAGTGATAGGAAAAGGAAAAAGGCATCGGAAGATATATTTTGTGGTTATGTAGTCACAAGATCTTTATATCCTGTTGTGAAAAGAACTTTAAAGAACAAAAGGAAGTATTGCAACTGTAGCTAATTTGAGTAGTAACTGAGGGCAAAGTTTCCCATAAGAATCCAATAAAACGTTGGACAGAAATAAAAGTCAAAATTTCACTCTATCAAAGTTCAAACTCAATGAAACAAATTTTAAGAAATCAACTAAAGCATCTATCTGGAAGCAGGTCTCATTGTCTCAAGCTTCCAAATTTTGACCGTGGCTCTCCATATTATTTGCCTATAGAGTCAGTTTAAGTTCGGAAATTTTAAGCAAACATCTCTGCTATACAAAGCCATAAAGTTTAGGCGATCCAATGACAAAAAACTATGAGATTTGGGAATAAACACGAACAACATCTCTACCATCTTCCAAATTTATAAACCAACATGCCAAGCAAATTAACAAGCCACAAGCCAAAGAATTCTACAGGCACATAAGTATCAGTTGACGATTGAATTTCAAAAGACAAACGAAAAGAGATAGGGAAACAAAATGAGGGACCTTTGAAACAGCCTCTAATATGTGCTTCCCATCTTGAATCTGATCCGTGAGCTGAACAGCAGTACAATCCCTCGGTGTCTCAAACGAGGACAAAGAAAACTGCTTAGAAACCACCCCAACATCAAAATAAATCAACCCGGAGCTAGGTATATCCACCCTGATTTCCTTAACGGGAAACCACAAGAACAAATCCTGTGCTGAAATTCCAGCCAGCTCACCGATC